TTAAATAAAACAGTCGGTAAAAATATAATTAAACTAAATGCCTTTGTCGATACAAATGGTATCCTTCGTGTTGGTGGAAGGTTAGCTCACTCTCAACTTAATTATGGTCAAAAACACCCCATTTTACTTCCGTCTAAGGAACGCGTGGTTGAACTTTTAGTAGATTATTATCACATCATCAATCTTCATACGGGTCCCGCTCTTTTACTGTCGCTCATCAGACAAAAATTTTGGATTCTGTCCGCTAGAAATTTAGTACGTCAAAGGGTACATAAATGCAATATTTGTTTTAGAGTTAACCCTAAAAATACTTTCCCTCCAATGGGTGATCTTCCCACCTTCAGAGTAGCTGAAGTAAAACCTTTCGTATATACCGCCGTTGATTACGCTGGTCCCTTCTTTATTACACATATTCGTAGGCGTGGTATAAAAAGCCAAAAGGCATATATTTGTTTATTTGTCTGTCTAACAACAAAAGCTATACATTTAGAGTTAGTTACTGACTTAAGTTCTGACTTATTTCTTGCCGCTTTTAAACGCTTCATATCACGTAGAGGCCCTGTTTCTATGATCTACAGTGATGGAGGTACCAATTTTATTGGTGCTAAACGCAAATTAAATGAAATTTATTCTTTAATACAATCCAAATCACATATTAATTATATTAGTCAGCAATTACTATCTGACCATCGCATTCAATTTAGACATAGTCCGCCTTATGGTCCTCATTTCAATGGACTCAGTGAAGTTAATGTTCGTTGTGTCAAAACGCATATTTTCAAGTCAATTGGTTCACAAATTCTCACATATGAAGAATTTAATACTATTCTCGTTCAAATTGAAGGTTTATTAAATAGCCGACCACTCTGTGTCTTAAGCTCTGATCCCTCTGATATTTCCGCTTTAACTCCTAATCATTTTTTAAATGTAACTCCGCTTAAATTCTTACCTGCTGAAGATGTTACTGACATCTCAGATAATCGCTTATCTCGTTATCAACTCTTAAATAAAGTCACGCATTCTTTTTGGCTTCGCTGGAGTCAAGAATATTTAACTTCTCTCCAACAGAGAGAAAAATGGAACTCCCCGTCAAAACCTGTTAAGTTAGGTACTATTGTCGTAGTTAAAGATAATAATTCTCATCCTCTCTGTTGGCCTTTAGGTGTAGTTGATGCGATTTATCCTGGAAAGGACAATATCATACGCACTGTTAAAGTACATACGGCATCTGGATCTTATATACGGCCAGTGGTTCGTCTTTGCCCACTGCCGTCGCAATAATTTTTTTTTTTGTTTGTAACGCATTAGTTTTAAATATGTATATATATTCGCTTTATGAAGTCCGCTTATTTTTATCGCATGTTTAGAGGAAACCTCTAGGCCGGGGGAGTTGTCTGCGCCGTTTATTATAAATATATATATATATATATTATTAATATTACATTACTCGCATCACAACATACAATATAAAAACTATACAAATGACTCAAACGGTAGATAATAAAACCTCTTTTAAAATTCCACCCGCCCAATATATAAAAAAAAAGAAGATCTCTCTCTCTGTCATGGTGTCAACGCGAAAATACGTTATAAAATACGCTCCTCTCGAAATTAAACCGCTGTGTTAATATCTCACCAAAAATAAACTGTGCTCAAAATAGTGTTGAGTGTGTGAACTATTTTTTATATAATACTAAGAATTCAAGAAAAAGGAGTACGACCGAAACCTATGGAAAATAACTATGTAAGTCCACTAATTTTCAGATTTCAATCATTGGAAATCCTCCATTTGAATTATAATATTTTATTTGTGGTCCCAAAAACAAATATCGCATTTTTCTTAAAACAACGATATGAGAAAAAGGATTTCCGATAACTTTATGGAAATGTCAGGTTGGCTTAAGGAATGTATTTTTCCGAAACATTATAAAGTAAAATGGCAATAAATCAGAAACACTGTTTTGCTTAGAAAACGTAAGGAAAAAAAAGGGCTTTCCTGTAAGATTTTTCAAAATGTCGACTAAACAAATACGGGTAGGCACGGAAAAGAAAAAAAAACGGAAAAGAAATTGGCGGTATCAATTGCAGTAGACACAAGGGTGGATTTGATTTATGGGACTCGGGATTAAAATGTTAAAATCGGGACAGGAGGGCTGAGACATGTGCATGAGAAGAGCGGAATATGGAAAAGTATCGCTTTTAATTTCGAAAACTGTTACGTTTCCGTTTCTTCTTTATTTGTTTGACTTTTAAGACTCTTTTCTATTTATATATTGTATGCAGGGATTTGTCAAAGGCATGATAAAGACTAATGTACGGCAGCAATTACGTACGTCGTAATAGTAGCCCAGGAGTGGTCTCTGTATGCCATAATAACGTTCCCATTGTAAGCAGTACGATACTTCATCTCACATGGTGGCCCTCTCGACTTTTGAAAGGACTGCCCGAAAATGAGCGGCATGAAACGCATAATTTTTTGCTATCATTCAATGTGGGATTCAAGGAATGATTGCGATATTATTTATTACTTACTAGCTTTCCTCCAAAAGTTTCGCCTGCGTGGTCCTGTATTATACATTTAAACTTTCCTCTTAAATGACTCTGTATATTAATGAAAGCCGCATTAATATCCCCTGTGTAGATTAAATGATCTCCGTTTACAGACAGCGGGAAGCGACTTTGATTTAAACTATGTATAGATTTACTTCTACTGATTGTTATGCAGTCTATAAATTTGATAGATAAGAAGTAATATTACCCTATTTGTTGAAATGTTTCCGCTTTCTCTACAATGGTCATACCCTAAGATTAAAAGAGAGAGGCGTTAATACAGGGTGCGCTTAAATAGATCACCGGATTTACATTCAGACACGTCAATTGAGTTACGTTTATTAAGTTGATTGCTTTGTATAAACCTTGTACAGTACAGGTAAATATAGTTATTATAAATGTGAAGAATGATTTTCTATAGCCGAGTGCTGAAAGTAGAATCACGACGTATAATTTTGGATTTCCCGGGTTTAATACTTAAGAAACATGGAAAAGTTATGTGTGCTCCTTTGCTTTTTTCAAGAAAGCATGAAATTTGCACCTATTCTTTGTCTTTCAGAATATGGTGTATTAAGTTAACGAATAATCATTATAAGTATATAAACCATACAGTGATACAATAACATTCCATACAGCAAATATAGGCTTTATAGCTTGTGACTTTAACTTTGAAAACATGGTGTGCTTTTTCCAAGTACCTGTAATACCTGTATCAGGAGGAGGTCACTGCACTCGCAGTCGTTATATAGGAATATATAGATATTATGACAAAACATAGAAAGAAAGAAACAAGAGTATTATTAACGCAATAAGGAAACAATATCAAGATTACCATTTTTTTACCTTAATTAAATATAGAGAAAGTTTAATACGAACCTACCACATTCCTTCAAATAAAAAACTATTTTAACTGACTTTAAAATAAAAAAGCAGGAGGTTCTATATTCAAAGGCAATGTATGTTTTTTTATAACGACGAGACGGTACATAAGTCTCGTAACAATTTAAATATCTTACTCGTAGTTTTCCATTCGATAAAAAAACATATATAAAAAAACAACTGACTTATTAGTTATTATACCAAGAAAGTAAAAAAAGAACTAAAAGTGTATATTAAGTGACGATTCACCAGTATATACTCCACGGTTTTTTTTCTCTTAAATATCATTCTATTTATCCTCCTTTATAATAAAGCATATACACAAGGCTTTATAAATTAATATCAAACGTTAGTCCCTTCGTACTAAATATTAAGCCTTAAAGGACTATAAATAAAGTTATAATTAAATGAAAGTGTAAGCCAAGAAGACGATGTTTTCATTACCGATATATTAGGTAAGCCAGTCACGTGGCCTGTATTAGTATATCACCCCCAGAGGGGGGGAGCCAATCAAGAGATGCGCTCGAGATGCCGACAGAACTTTATATTCCGTTCATGTATTTAACTTGAGAATTTCCTCTTATTACAAAAAGTCTTTATATTACAAAATATATTTTTTTCCATCTTGGTAAAGCATGACCTAATTTACAGACTAATTATCACTATTTGACGGAACGAGTAACATGAAATAAGTAATTTTGTAATTCACGAGGAGCTCGATAGTGCAGTGGTTAGCGAATTCAGTTTTCGATTGGAAAGGTTGAGCTTCCACTTCACTTTCGAGTGAGTGACAAAAGTTTTCAATCTTGAGGTTTGTCATGCTTCAAAAGGCATGTTAAGCGGTTGCTCTCCGCGGCCCGCTTGGTGGGTTGTGATTCTATCCGTAGACAGGTTTGTGACTGAAGCACTTGTAACTGGGTGCATTAATAGAATGTACAATGTGCTCCAGAGGTAGATGGAATAACAGCCTGCTGATGATGTAATAAGTTTCAATACTAATCTTTTCTTCAACTGATCTAAAACTCCGCAACTCCTAGGTTTGACTAGTAAAATCACAGGTCTGACAGAAATGCTTAGTCAAAATCCAAATTTTTCAGTCTTTGACTAACGCTTTTTAGTCTAATCTAGGAGAGACTAATTCAGACAGTCAGACTCCGAAACTGAACGTCATGAATTCAGAGTTTGATAAGTCAGAGTTAAATTATTTATCGGAATGTGTTAGTTTGCTTAATTATATGTCAGTATTAATATATTGACATTCATTTATATGCCAATATATTAATGTCGCATTAGGTGCACCATCCTTTGAGAATCTGGCAGTTAGTAGGTATAAATAAAATTATTAGAAGACGCTGTAAAGTTCAATACTTTGTTTTGTTAATCTTGTCTGTATTATTGTTGAATATGAATGCTTTATCAGATCTATGAGTAAATATCCATGATGATTTTTGTCGTTTTGACATTTTGTACCGTTTATACATGTGAATTTGTGTACTGGAGGTGTACACCAGATACTGTGATAGTACTATATCTAAGAATTTATTATATATATATCACATTAATATACGTACCCGTTCGCATGGCGCAGGCGCGTGCAGTTGCCTCGCCTGTCCTCGTCCCAGTGCCTCACGCTTCCTCTGCGCACTGAACAGCCTCAGCTCCTTACGCTCTTCGTCAGACAACGCGTGGCAGTACCGCACCTGGAGGTCATAGGTCCACCCTCAATAAGAATAAATTACTCCCCCGAAAAAATATTAGTAAGTATAGTAGAACCACGGTTATAAGTCATCAACATTATCAGTTTTTTTTAGTTCTACTTGCAGGGGCGCAGGCCTTCTTTATGGATAGTTAATGTGGAAGGGCCATGATCCTACACGCTGCCCCAATGCGGATTGGAGGGTATTAACGACTTCAAATGCAGCCGTGATTAACGGCCGTGCCTTACGAAGCACGGAGTAGCTCGAAATAATATTTTTTTTAGTCATCATTCCTGTAACCGATTCACCCACCTGATGTAAAGCTACGGCAGCTAACTACTAAAATAAGTATTTTGACTGAAGAGTAATCTAATATTTAAACGTTAACCAAAAAGAATATTCTCCATAACGAAGCATTTCCATTTTGGGAATATTTGATAGTGGAAAATTGTGGATTTGTGCCGCAATTAGAACTTTTCACAAATAGTCTATTAAAACTTAATTTCATTCTAATAAAACATTCAGTATTGAGTCATTACCTCATTGTCTTGAGGGGGTAGTTGCTGGAGCAGCTGCTTTAGCCTGTACCTCTCACCGACGCTGTTCACGTATGGGACCTTATCCTCTGGCAACGCGGAGAAGTACAGGTGCACCTGAAATATATAATAATTATTTTCAAAATTAGTTTATCAGCAAAGTTTTTAATATATTTCTTAGATTACATATTTGTGAGTAGTTTTTCTTTACCATTGCCTACTATGACAGAAAGTGCAAAATTGTACGAGTAAGTTTAACATTTATATTGGAAAATCATATAAGTTTAAATTGGTAGTAATATAAATCTATACTGATATTATAAAATAAAATGATTTGATTGTTTGCTTGTTTGCATCGAATAGGCTCATATACTATTGGACTAATTTTAAAATTCTTTCACCTACGAAGCTACATCATACTCGGGTGATATAGGTTATAATTTACGCGTATTACGGTCAGTTGCACAAACGTCCATTAAGGTTTAATGACGCCTTCAAGCTCCAATTAATGTCAAATTTGTATTGGTAATGTCGCTTTAAACTAATCAAAATTTTAATGGACGTTTATACAACAGGTTGTTAGTCGCTACAAAAGACTGTTTTCCTAAGAAAATAATATAACATGTAGTGTCATTTCAGATTTTCTTATCATATATAATACAATAATCTAGAGAATTATTTTCCCCGCCGTTCCCTATATATCATGTCAAGGGATCAAGGTGGATGGACATGGGGCGAAGGGGAATGGGCGAATGATATGGGAATTAGCTGGACTCCAATACTAATCAGTGTTCAGCAGTAAGTATATGAGTAATGGTCATAAGATAAATTAATGATATTTGTGACTAATTGCCTTATAATTTGATATAGCACAGAGTTTAATGAAGCTTTAGGCGACACAAGGTACAAAACTACAAATCTTTTGACCAAGGTACTGCGCAGATATAAGTTGATATCGATTGCCAGTTGTACCAATAATACATCTAGTTTATGGTGGATGAAACTGAAAAAAAAACTGTAAGTTCGATATTGTTTCGTATACATGGAAAGGTCATTGTATGCTTCAAAATTGCCGATTACAGAAATTTGAATTTTAACTGGGATAAAAAGGGTCAGTTTTAAACCATTAAAAAATTTGATATCAGTCACTGACAATCATAATTAGACTTGTTTTATTTGTAATGTTTCTTAAAATTATATGAAATACGTCATAATCTTTCACAAGGCCAACAAAAAATAATTTTCTCTACCTCCAATTTGCTTCGGAAGGCACGTTATGCAGGGATCAAGGGCTTAGCGTGTCTGCATCAGCAGTCGTTTATACCCTATAGTCCATTCTCCCTATCCGATTCCATCCATAGTGTAGGCCTGCGCTACAGCAGTGGCGAAATTAATAGACTGATGACGTCACGACATAAAGTGTTAACTCGATTGAAAATTGTCGGAACTGAAAACCGTGCTTAATATTATTTTTAGACTCCAATTACAGTTGCATCGATTATTAAATCGACCATGGAGTTGATGAGTGCCACTGTAAGTTCTAATATTATTGCATTCTCAGTGCTTTGTGGAAAGTGAAACACGTCTAGAGAAATAGTTTGTGGTGGTTGCGAGATTCGTTAACGCTTTTGCATGTGTTTGCGCTGGTTTACAGGTATCTTAGAGACACTAATGTGTATTAGCTAACGTAGTAGTTTTTTACCAACTGGGTATAGGGAGAGGTTACTAGCCTCTAACCAACGTACGTACCCTGCCCGTATCGGTCGGCTTTAAGACTCGTTCGGTATGCAAACAGCTGCGGGTCTATCGCGTAAGAACACTAACATCGATTTCCTTAACATGACAAAGTCAACAAAATTGCAGCAAAAGTCACGCGGTAGGCCTGAGAATTTATCCCGTTTTTTATCAGATAAAATAATAACTGAATTAAAGGTGTAATAACTAATTTTGGCAATTAATATTTTTTTGTTTTGCTTTATTAACTCAAATGTCTTAAAATAAATTTAGCACTCATTAAAACCTAAAGTAATACATTTCAAAAAAGTTTTTTAATATTATTATTGTGATCGTAGTTTCTACTAATGAACACGATATATTTAAGGATTATATCAAACATTGTTTATAAAGAACGACACTCGAAGGCATCCCAAAGGAAATAAAACTATTAATTCTGTAATTCCACCTATGGCATTTTAACTCTAATGAAATATTCTATCTCCCGGCTATAAAAATGAACATTGCTCCATAAAGTAAATGACTGCAATAAACAGCCAGTTTCTATAGCACGTATTTATTATATGATAAAGGGAGACTTAATGAAAGAGAAACGTGGTGGGAATTGATAAGTCTTATGAATAACGCTATGAAACAATCGTGGACCTAGAATTCATCCTTGTGGCATACTTAGTATAACAAATAATGTTAAGGGAAATTTAAAAATAAACCTATCTAATGAAACGTAATGAGGAAACTTGTAGAAAATGTACATCAGAATCACGTTTAATTTTGGAGATGTCATTACTTTTTATATAACAAATTAGTTCCACATAATGTTCTTTAAACTTTATCAGTTTACACTTAGGTAATAGTATAATAAAAAAAAAATCAACACGTAACCTTTGACTACTATTTCATTGAGTTTTCGCCAGTGAATGATAAAATGTGAATAATGGTAAATGTTTCGTGTAGATTGTTTGAAGTACGATAAAATTATTGTGGGAAATGGCTGAAAAAATCAGGAACTGTGTTTAAATCTAAATTGGTTATTTGATGAGGATAAGAATTCGCGCAGCATGATCGTTACGAATAATTCACTAACCTATTCATTTAAAGTATTTTATAATCGTGAATAAATTGTGTCTAGACACTTCATTGAACTCGTCTAAAATGCGAATGCGAAGAACTTTTGATAGTATTTTCACAAAATTATGATAGGTACCGTTAAACCAACTTCGGACATATCTAAGAATTATGACTGCAAAAATTATAAAGTGCACGAAGCTGAATTATGATATTAAAAATGGTTTCTAAAACTTTTTTAATTTTTACGAAGTCACATTTTTGTCAGCGGCGACGGTGGCCATTAAAACCGCATTGAAGCTACGAAAATCCGTTAAAAGGCACCCCGGCTCTTTAATGCCACTCACAAAAGACATCATACTTCGGGGCGCCGTACACCCTGGAGGGCTGTTTTAATTTTTTGCTCGGTTGCCTCCAAGAACTTTAATACTTTATTTGCGAATGTAATTATAAATGCTGCCTTATATTTGGTATTCAAAGCGGTTGAGTATTGTCGGGTCATTCCCAAAAGTAAATAAATCGCGGAATTCCGGCGGGCAGCTTGGAGGCGTTCAAATGTTTTGAATTCTAATGTGCATTAAAAACGATCTGCTTTTTAATTGGTTCTCTTTATTTATATATTAGTTTTTGTTATTGGTAGATGTAGGTGCTTTCAACACATGAAATGAATCAATTTGATAATTTAAACATAATAAATGTCTTTTGGCATTTCAAGTATACACTAAGCTCTATTTGCTTTAATTTTTTAATAAAATTTTATGAATACCAGTCTCATTTTAAGCACTTATTTGCAATTACGACTTAGGACTCATTGAATTCTCTACTTATGAAAAGAAGCTGCTAGAAATTCACCTGTCTATTTTCAATTTCCGTCAGATCAGTATAAATATACTATTTTACTACAATTACTCCAAGGTATCCGTCTAAAAGTTCTGAGCGCTTAGTGTAAGTTTTTTTGACGTTTACGTTCACTGTCGATCGTGAGCGCGTTAAGATTTTAGTATGGAATCCGGCACAGCGCCCCTAGCGGTAACTATCAAGAACTACAAATTTCCATACAAATTCTTAACGCGCTCACTAGTGAACGCGTTAGCGTAAAACTTACACTTACCACTCTGTAAGCCGTAATATTCAGAACTTTAACAGTGATAAATGTTTTGCGGTCCCAAAAAAAGAAAACTTTTGAGTAATGGACTACCGCAACTAAACTGGGAAACGACGGTAATGCACAAATAATGACAGACAGTATCATTACACACAACTAAGATTAAGATAAAATAAGTTTAAAACTGTAATTTTCCTCCGTAATACATGAAATATGAAGACGTTTATGATATTACAAAAAAAAAAACAAAGATAATTCACCTACATTTGGAACAATTTAGTAATGTTTCATATTCGTATGATGGCAGTTCATATGAATGGCGTGACTCGTGTTGGTCGTTTTTCATCAGAGTGAGTACCCATTGAAGAAAATAACAATAACGGCTTTCAGTGAAATCCAAAAGCTTCCAATCTTAAAAAATGTTTGAAACAAAACCTACACGTCCAAAAAGACGAAATAACGGACAAAAGCCAATTTCAAAATGGCGAACAATGTAGTCCCCTGCGACCACAATGGCTCACCTGGGATCTTTGCATTCTGCGGTTTAGATGTATAGTAAGTACGCATTTGACATTTGCAATGTGAAAATGAAGAATTCAAAGAATATTGGATGTTTTATATGGGAAAGTTTGTTTTAGATTAAGGACCTAAAAAACGCAGCACTCACAATTCGAGCAAAATATTAAATGTAAAAAAAAAGAATAGTGACATCATTTCGTAATAGAGCGAAATAAGGTATTCCATATAATATAAATTTTGTCATTTACGTAGTAATTTTAAAAATATTTGGCGTGTTTGTTTACCGATCAAGGAAATAGATTTATTTATCATATTAAATAAGATATTTTATTTATCATTTGTATTTTAAAGCATTAACAATTTCAACATACACATAATCAATAGTATGAAAACTTGAAATTTGATCTCTATGAAATTTGTCATTCAGAGCAAAACTCCTACCTGTTCTGGTCTTAGTCCTGGTGGCACCCACGTATACTCTTCTAAGGCGCATCCTGAATCATCATCGCTCTGGGAATGTCGATGAGGATCCCCTGGTTTCATCAATCTCTCCGCATGCTCCAATAATCCTCTAAACTTGCCTTGTGGGATTGGGTGGGGGGACAGTGACATAGCGGACTGAGGGGACTGCGGTGACTGGTAGCTCTGTCCAGGCTGATTTAATTGAGATACACTATGACTATGAAGGAGGTTATATTCAGGATAGTTTTGGCTTTGCACCGGCTGACTTCTTCTGAAGTTAGGGTAGGAGTATGGATGTGGGGAATTGGATTGGCTGGCTGAGGAACTGTGGCTTGGCTGCGGGGAGGGTAGAGGTGGGAGAAGACGAGGGGATGTGATTGGTGATGACGGGGCTGGTGGCGGTGGTGACGTTGCGTTCTCGTGCAGCGGTGGCGGTGATGAGCCGGTCGGAGAGACTACGCAGTTACGGCAGACAGGTCTGAAATAGAGAAAATTAAATCGTTAGTCAAATCAGAAAAGTGTTGACATTGTAAATGTTATAAAGAGATGAGTGATATTCTTGACATACTGCTATAAAAAATCGCTGAGTGTTTTATGTAGATCTGTCTAAAACTCATACTCTCTGGTAACCTGTTACTATTTAGGACAATGGATAACAATATCTCTGTGTTCTTGACATTCTTATATCTTTTTAATAATTTGATAATGTTACAACGCATTAAATTAAATTGTTTCGATTTGTTATTCATGAAATATATATATAATTATCGTAAGGCGTGGCTTATTATAATCTAGCGTTCCATTCAAAGACACGCCTTACGAAAAAGTACCCTATGGAATAGAAACATGAATAACAAACACAGTCATTATTTTTTTATACAACTTTAAAGCTTTATTTGTGTAATAAAAATTTTAATCATCAAATAAATCGAAATAGATAGCGACTTCCTGAAATCATATTCTATTAATGTTCCTGCGTAGTGATCGTGACTCGTGACCTGCCATATCGACCGGTGATCTATGGACGTCATCTACTTGTTGCAAGTTAATCCGTGTGATTAATAGTACAATTTGCGGCCCCCAGAGGTCGCTAGTTTGTATCGAAGATAATGCCTGGTAGTTAAACCATTACTCATTTTATGATTGCTAGTTAATGAACTAAGTACAATAATGTAACTGTGTTTCGATCTCGTTTATGCTATTTCACATCCAAGTAAGTCGAAAAAGATATTATCTTATATTTTATGTTCGACGAAAAACTGATAATGTAAATTTTTGTAATAAAAACTTTTTATGATTTTTGTTATTTATGTTTATTGATATGATCGGTCGTGTTAACTCTTGTAGTATAGACATTTTTTATAAACTTTTTATTCATGGTCAATATATTTGAGCTAAGATAAGACTGTTTGCTAAGGATCTGTAATGAGAACAGACGATTTGTATGTAAAAAAAAAGGTTATTACGATGAAAGAGTAGAGAAAAATAAGCAGGGGAAGACTGTAGGAAAGATGGATAGACTGTGTGAAAGATAATATGGATGAGAAAAGAGTCAGTGTAGAAGTGACTTATAATACGTCGTACATCGACCCAGTAATAAAATATTTCGAACAAGAATATATCTTTTAAACAACAAGTAGACCACTACTATTAGCGATGGCTTAATGAAGATTTGGATGTTTTGCCTAGGGCATCCAGATGGATGCCCTAGGCAAAACATCCAAAAGATTTTCATAAAAAAACACAAGAAAATAAAATACTATTGTATAAGTTTGTGATGTAGTTGTGTGTTGTTGTCTGAATAAACAATTTATTTATCTATCTATCTAATGAAATGTAATTTTAATATTGGCAAAAAACACATTCGCCTGCAAATTTCGTACTTTTGAATACTGTGGATACCTATAATTCTTATTAAAAAATCCACTTGGTCCCTGGCACCCTGAGATGGGAATCGAACCCGCGACCTTTCGCATTTCGGGCGACTGCGCTACTGTGGATATATTCATTCAAAAGCATTTTTTAAAAGTACCGCATTTATAAGGTTCAAATAATAAGAGCAAACTTAAGCTGTTTGCTATGCCTTACTGCCCCCCAAATACGAGCACCCTAGGCAGTTGCCTAGTTTGAATAGATCTAAATAAACTACTGGTATCTAAATTATTATGAATGTACTAGATTGACAGATGTTAACAACTACAAATGCCGCCAGGAACGATTTACCATGCCTACCGAAGCAAGAAAGAGCTCGAGATGAAACATTTTTGGTCATCCATCATATGACAAGAAAGAAAGACAAGAATGCCCTTGAGAAAGTTCCTTAACTTCGACGTCCATATGTAATATTAGCACACAATGTTTATTCGTTTGTTGTCTATACTAATATTACAAAGAGGAAAGATATGATTGTTTGTTTCGTTTGCGTTGAAGGGGCTTCGAAACATCTGGATAGATTTTTTTTAAATTCTTTTACCTACTCTTCGCTACATCACATGGTAAAACAGCTACTTAGAACGGAATAAAGAAACAAAAATTAATATTAAGGAATGAAAAAACTTGTCACACTTTTGGGCTTCAATTTATTTAGACACGTGCAACCTTGCATTCTTTGATTTAAGATACATCTGTCATCTCAACTAGTAAGTACCTTCTTAACATATATTTTCAACAACAAAAAAAAACGCAAATTGAACCACCGACGTAAATCGATAAGTCTGACATCGATGACATTTAACGATTGCGATAACATGCGACTTGCAATGTGGAGCAGCTCTTTTTTTTTCTTTAAATTGTTTTAAATCCGATTGACGCTTCATGATGATGAGAAATCTCCACCGGCATGGGAATTAACGAGATACGATCGCCAACAGTGAGTAGATACCATAAGCTTATACAGGAAAATTTTGAAAGCAGTGCACTAATTCTTATATTGTATTAGTTACTGTAAATTATGTTTACGATTATTGTCTCTTTTTAGCAGGTTATATATGAAAACATTTAGAAATAAATGAGTAGTGTACTGGAAATAATACTATTTTATAAGAAAACGCTATCGCAAGAAATTCACAGATCGTAAAATGGATTTTTATCAATTCATGTGAAAGGTTTGGCCGTATAATACATAATACAAGTTTTAGCTTTAGTATGATTATATTGGAGAGAAGAAATGCTATGTATTCAAATGCCGCCGGGCGAGGACTACACACAAGGACTAGTAACTAGTAAAATATAATTATTAATATATACTTTGTTACCTGGCTTGGGACATAAAACAGCCTGTACGATGATCAAAAACTAAGAGCGTAGTTCATTCATAATTACATCTTATAAACCTACCAAGTCTGAAAAGAAAATAAAAACATCTATAGAACTATTATAAAGAGGTTTCTTACTTCGTTTATTTGTAAGGATCTTCGGAAAACTGATCTGATCGTGAAAATTCTTTTATCTACGTGTAACATTATACGCGGGTGATATACGCTATAATTTGCGCGGGCGAAGTCGCGCTATTATAAATATATACGTACACCTTAACATACAAAAAAATCTATATAGAAATACGATTAATCATTATAAAATTATGACTCTCAGAAACAGGTTAGAAAGGACAAAATTAAAGCTACTAGTAGCTTTCAATCTTACAGCTCGGCCCACTAACCAACAGACGCTGAACTTAACTATTTAACAACATTGTAAACTATTTTAAACGAAAGCTACCCATCTGGTTTTAGTCGCAAATTGGACGACATTACGCATGCATACTCCTGTCTCAGTAAATATTAAGTTTATTGGTCGAGCGGTGGCTAGATATCCAGTTTGATTTTACGATCATTGCATTTACATAAACTATTTTTGTTTTTATTTTCATGATATATGTAAACGAAAAGATAAAGAAAGAAAGAATAAAAGATTATGTCACATAACTAATTATCAATTAGTCCTGCTCAATTGGTGTAGAAAAAATAAAGTGCTGTTTGTACTATTTCCTTTCCGATTTTCGTTTTTATCCATAAATTTTTGGATTTCTTTTCGATTTATTAGTTTCTCTTTTTTATTTAAATAAAATCGAATTCGATATACTACCGAACGGTCAATGTAATTAATCACTAGTACATTAAATATCTTTGAGAAACAATAATCATTTGTGTATGTTCCTCCAGTCCATATATACAGTCGAAACGAGTTATTGAGGTGAGCGAGAATTAATTTTAATAACTTGTTTTCATTTTGATTTATTCAATACTAGTGTATCTTTGTCATTAATGAGTCGAGTAGGCACTTTTTGTTGTCAAATTAATTATCTCTACTAATTTTATAAAGTTGGAAGTATTTGATTGTGTTTTCGTTTGCATTGAAGAAGGCCCGAAATGGATCGATTTTTTAAATTTTATTTCACCAATGGGAAGCTAGATTTTATCGCGGGTGACGTAGACTATAAAATTGCACGTCAGTTTACCACAATATGTCAAATTTCTGTAATGAATTTTGACCTCTACATTCAATGTATTAAAATTTAAAATCGAGCGGGGAAATTTGACGTTACTGGAGTATGCCGTGCAACACAATCAACAGATTGTACGTGCAATTGTGTTTGTGATGCGATTGGTCGTTTATATACACACTCATATGTACAAACAAGCTATGTCGTGTTTCTTAAATATACTTGTGGCGGCAAAGAATATGCTCTCTAAAGTATGAGTTAACGAAGTGACTTGTGGAGAGTGTCAGTTCCGGACTTACTTTACACATTTCTTCTATGTTTCCCTTGTGAGTGCACGGAAAAATTATTCTGGTATGTGTAACCATATTCTGGTTACCATTACAATATTTATTGCTCTATATGTGACGACCACTCGTATTGTAAGCGTTACACAATGATTCTAGTTAAACATGAATTGTATTTGTCACATTGTTATTGTTAATTTTACTATTTAATTTTTCAGGTCTACAATCCTTTTTTGTCCTAACAACAAGAAAGTTTGTGTTGTTAATCAAAAGTTTTGTAAATAACATATAAACGTTTAATTAAATTTACCGAATGTCATCGTTTTATTTACTACAAAAAAATTACTAATACGATTTGTTGTGTACCTCTGACAAATGGAATTATAAATGGAACAGAATGATACGTTCACATTACAAAATGACTTGTAATGACAACAATAGAGTATTGTGTAGGTAACTTCTTATTTTGTAAATGGACCAGGAAAAGTAGTTGGTTTATTCCACCGGAACTGTCGGTAAAGACGTGATTGCTTAAAATGTGCTTTTATTTCTCAAGATTCATTAAGTTTTCCGAGAAATAAAAGCTCTGAACTTTAAGCAATCACGTCGATACACGACAGTTCCCGCAGAAAATGCCAATAAAAGAAAAACAAATAATAATAAAGAATCAACACTTTTATTAATTAAAACGTAGAATCAATTAGAAGTAGCTGATACCCTGTCGGCTTTTTTAAAACAGGGTACTCATTCATG